TCCGCACAGGAGCTGCACCCACTGCTGCCCATGGAGCCCCAGCTGCCGCTGGTGGTGCTGGCCAACAAGCAGGTGGGTGTCCATCTATCCCCACAGATGCCCCTGAGCATGTTTCCAGTGAAACAATCCCTCCCCAGGGCCCTGAGGGGAATTCCTGATACCCTAAATCCACCAGCTCTTGCAAAATCCAATTTCTCAGGCCAGTCTTCTCCAGTGTTCATTGGGAGGCGCGGCTGTGGTTGCCAGCGCCTGGCTGATGAGTTTCAGGAGAACACCCAGGCGGCACATGCCAAATCCCTGAGGGGAAGTACATTTCCAGGCAGTTGACCGAGCGCATGCCTGGTGCTGCTCCCTGTTAGCTTGTGCCAAAGCAACTCCAAGGCAAGAGGCAGCCCTGCCCGTACGTGACCACTGCCAGGACCAGGCTGCTGCCAGCTTCGGGCACTGCTCCCCTCTGAGCAGCCACTTCTTACCCTCACAGGACAAGAGCGATGCCCTGAGCACGGCAGAGCTGTGGGAGGAGCTGGCCCTGCACAAGCTCAGCGAGCAGCGGGAGCTCTTCCTCCTGCCCACCAGCGCGACCTGGGACAGCCTGAGCACTGCCAACAGCATCCTCCACGTGAAGAACCTGCTGGTGACGCTGCTCTCCCAGCCCCTGAGTGCTCTGCTGCAGGGGGAGGGCAGCCAACCCCCCCCGGTTCAAGGATGAAATCTCCCTTGGGATGGAAGCACAAGCTCCTGGTGAGCAGGAATATGCAGCACAGGGCAGCGCCCCACACCTTCACAGCAGCCCTGCATGATACTAAATGAATGGGGCTGGAGAGGGAGTCCTCTGACCCACAGGTCATCCCAGGAGGTGGGCTCTCCTTCCCAAAAAACATGGAGTTGCTGCTGGCACAGCCCTGCCAATGCAGTGCACAACAGCATACCAGCTCAGGCTGTCCCTCGCCAGGGCTTAGCAGGGCTCTCAATTCCCCCCACTCTGTACTTAAAGCCCTGTTGAGGAGAGGTGAAGGCAGGTATTGGGCAGCCCTGCACTGCCCCTTCACCCTGAACAGGGGCAAAGATGGGCTGTTCGGTATGAGCTGCACCCGGCAGACATTTGCCTCCCTGCCTGATCTCCCTCCCTCACAGCTTCACCAGGTAATGGGATGAAGGAAGCTCTGCCTGCAGGCAGGAGGCTGCTGGGTCAGGCTGTAGGGTACTGGGTCCTGGAAAACCAATTATGGAAGCTAGGGAGCACACTGGGGAAAGGGCGTTCACATCAGCCAGTCTCTGCTGTTAAAGCTTTTCTACTGTCACTCCTTCCTTTTGTCAATAAAAGAGGTTGACCACTCTGCACTGAACTCCAGCTCCTTGGCAGGGAAGGGATCTCCCAGCCTGCAGGCAGGAAGGTCACTCACAGGGGAAGGAAGCAGCACATGACCCTGCTTCAACTTTTGCTGCCTACAGGGAAATCAGCAGGTTCTAGTGCTGCCTGCACCCGTTGCTGCAGAGGGTGCCATGTGCCCAATGCCCATGTCCCACCATGGCACTGGGAGCTCTCATAGCAGGGCTGTGCCAAGCAAGAGCCCATGAGTAAGACTCACACCACCTTGGAGAAGTAATTTATTTTAACAAGGCAACAGGAGCACTGGCTGCCATACAAAGGGAGTGGCACAGCACACTCAGTCCCAACGCCATAAGCCACAGCCAAGAAACTTTCATGCCTGGTTATAACAATCTCTGTTTAATGAAGGTGCTTCCTCCATCACCAGAGGCTTTGCACAGCTCAACTTGCAGGCACTCGGCCTGTGACTGTCACCTGTTTGTCAGTCCCTGCTCAGCTCAGAAAACGGTCCTGTCAAGCCTGCACTTGCAGGCAAACCTGAGGGAAAAGGGCAGTCACTGCACCTCCATCTTCTCCTGCTTGAGTGATGCAACAAAATCCTTGTACTCCTCGGGATAGAAATTCTTGTACACGTTGATCTTTCTCTTGATCTGCTTGGGAGTATCCTGGTAGTAGTTCTTCTCATCTCGAGCCATTTCCTGAGACAAAGGAGAGCAAAAATCAGAAGGATGTCCCCAGGAGCAAACACCAAACCAGCCCAGCCACGCTCCAAAGACCCATCCAGACCAGCTGTGATCGCTGCCAGACTCAGACAGGGATCTGCCCAAGGTTCCCCTTAGCACATCTCAGTGCCAAGCAGAAGCCAGGACAGAGAGGATTAGTGATTCCCTTTCTGCAGAAGCTCCGGGTGCTGCTCACTCTGGGACAGCCAGCACTGACCTTGTAGTTCTCCCCATGGTTCTGTATCATGTACCGCACATAGTCAATGAGGTCTCGTGAGAGCGTGTTTGACTTCTTCTCGGGCAGACTGGCCTCATATTCCATCTCTAGGCAAAGGACAGAGACACCATGAAGCAGGGGAGGGAAGCAAGCAACACCTCAAAGGTTGCCAGCCTCTTCCCAAGATTGAGCCCTGCTGCAGAAGGTGGCTCTGACAGCACAGATCAGCTGCTCCATATACACAGAGACACTTCCCAGCATCAGCATGCAGGAAAACAAACAACAGCCCTCAGCATAATGTGCAGGCATCCTGCTCATAGCACGAGTGGAACATTTCTGCCCAGGCTATATAGCATGACTGTTCAGAGCTGCCTGGTCCACCACTGAAACATGCACGGTACTGCAGCCACATTTTCTTGTCACCTTGGTGTCAAAACCCAGCATGTTTCAGAGTGACAAGAGCCCTCCTGGGGCTGTAGGTAGAAATACTGTGAAAAAAGCAGCACAGGAGGGAAAAAAGGAAATTCCTGAGCCAGAGGACACATGGGAACTGCAGAGCTGCTGTCCTGGCTCCCACTCAGCTCCAGCCTGGCTGGGAATCTCCAGCCAACTGCTGCCAGAGGGTTGCTCCTCTACAAGCCTGGATGAGAAGTGACAACCTTAGGGCACAGCACAGAGATGAGAGATAAAATAACCCACAGGGCCTTGGGAGAACCCCAAAGGCAACAGCAGCAGTTGCCTTCAGGGCTCAGTAGGAAACCCGCCAGGGCTGGAGGTGGTGAGGTGCTCCCTGGGGCAGGAAGAAGCAGCACTGACCATTCAGCACGTAGGGCTTCCGCACTAGTTTCTGTCCTTGGTCTTGTCCATTGCTTTCCGTTTCCATCCCCTGTGTTGAATGAGAGAAAAAGCAACTCAAGAAAAGCCCATTTGGGAGAGAGCTGTATCCCAATACATTGCTCCCAAAACTCCAAACTGCTTACACAATGACTGCAAGGACAAAGAAATCTCATCTGGCTTAAAAAAGTTTTTATTTGCACCATTAAGCGAGCTCAAGGGCAGGGTTGTCACTGTATGGACACAGACAAGTGGCAAACAAGGTCACTCCTGTTGATTTTTCATGAGTGTCACATTTTGTGGGGCCACCTTTTGCCTGGAAGCACTGCCCACCGATGCAGGCAGGCTGGGCTGGCACTGCTGTATACCAAGAGGTTTTCTTTGCTATCAGGAGCAACTCGGCTACTGTGTTCCCCACCTCTCTCTGGCAAGTCCCAGGAGGTTGACTGACAGTATTTATACTTAAGTCCATTATTTACTCTTAAGCCCATTATTTCTCTGTGACACTGCAGCTTGTTCCCACGCCAGGATCTTGGCAAGAAAACAATATCCATGGATAAGAAATCCATCCACTTACAGAGACTGACCCAGAGCCACCTGATCCGTGCCCCAGGGCAGGCTGCTCTCCACGCTGCTCTTCCCCACTCCGGCTGCGTGTCCTGGGGGAGGC